GCGCAGAGCCGCCGCCGCAGCCGCCTCTCCCCCGCACACGCACACGCGCACGCACGCACGACGAGAACTCCTGCACATACATACATACATTCACTTTTATTATGTCACAAATATAGCTTACTATTTATTTATCTTACTAATATTATAAGTGTGCATGTTTGGATGGATATATGGATGTTGGTATATTCAAAATGGCTAAACGAGTCTCGATGAAAATTGAAATTTTTTTTTAATTGCGTACAAACAGATTCGCGGACAGCAGCTAGAAAAATTTTAAATATTTATAGATAAATGTAAATATCAACTCAATTGTGAATTTACGGTTTCATAAAACAAAAATGATGTTCTTTCTAATGTATGCGATACTTTATTTAACATTAGTTTAAGATAAAAGAGTTAAAAACTGACTGTTTGACAGCCCTGGCGTATATAGCTTGCAGCAGGGGGCGGACGTCGGGTACTTGCGGCGGGGCGAGGACGAGCGCGGGCACGGCGAGCGCCTGCAGCGCGAGCGCGGCGGCGGGACCGCACACCGCCACGCACTCCGGCACCGGGCCCTCCTCGCCCAGCACGCGCCCCACCTGCTCCACCAGTGTGCGCCGCGGCTGTACACCGCACAGATTAAATACATAACCAAACATTCTCTATATCACTCGGCTTTTCTCATATTTTAAAGTGCCAAAAAGCAAGGAGCTGATTTGACGAAATAACGAAAGCTATCTTTAAACATCCATAATTCCAGATGCATTGTTCGTCGATTCGATTGTAAATTTAAGAAAAAATGTACTGTGGCACACCTTATATTTTATTGATTTATTATTTTTTTTCTCTGAAAGTACATGTTTTGAAATTTACAAAATGCTTAGTAGTAAGTAAAAAATCAGTAGTAGACAATTTTGAAATATTGGCTGGCTATGTACAAGAAACATGTTCGTGCTGTACCTCAGTGGTGGTGGGGCTCTGTGCGGGCAGATCGTGCGCGGAGAGCGGTCGCTCGGCAGCTGCGAGAGAGTTCTTCTTGCGCGCGGCGGCCGCGGCCGGAGTCAGGTTGCCGCCACTAGTCGCACTACGGAATAGACGCGACCGCTTCTCCTCCTACGTACATAACACGCTGTTTAATCTTTCAAATTGATCACTACACTAGAAGAACTTCGCTTCTATATCTATCTGGACAATTTTAGTTACCATCTTTAAAAGCCGTTTCTTGCTAAAAAAAAAAATAATCTTACTAATATTATAAATGCTTTGATGGATAGATAGATGTTTAATAGAAGGTATCTCCAGAACGGCTGCATATATCTGACTGAAAATTGGCACAGATGTAGAACAGTCTAAAAGATCACATAGACTACTATTTTTTTCTAATTCCACGCGAACAAAGTCGCAGTCTTTTAGTATATTAATTAACAAGTGAAGCAAGAACCATCTTATAGCTAATCTTTTACCTTGGTATCATTTGGCGGGGAGCTGGACACAGAGGCACCGGAGACTGGCGGGTCCAGCGCAGCATCAGCGTCACTGTTGCCTTCACTTCCGCGCTCGTCACCTGCAGAACTGCGCATCGCCTCCGACTCTGTCATCATACGGAACTCATTCTATATTGGATCACAACACAAGGATACCACAACCAAACCTTGGAATTTCCAGCTTAAAGTAGGAGCATATAAGCATCAGCACTTTTCAAATTTTATTAATATTATAAATGCGAATGTTTAGATGAATGTTTATTTCAAGGTATCTCCAGAACGGCTGAACAGATCTTGATGAAATTTGGCATACATATAGAACATAGTCTAGAAGAACACATAGGCTACTTATTAAGTTTTTTTTTAATTCCACGCGCACGGATTCTCGGGCGACAGCTACTTAGTAATATAACCTAGATTTAAACAATGTTTAGCTATGTTATTTAGTTCTTTCTTGTAGGTTTAATTGGTATAACTTCATCGGTGCTCCACAGATTAACTCGTTGTTCACAATTTTAAGAATTAAAGATATACTTAAAGTTTATAATACTTTAGGTAACAATAAAATCGACCAGAAAACAAAAAAAATGAAGATAGACCAGGTGTTGGTTGATACTTTGAACAGACAGCATTAGAAATTGCAGAAGTGAAATATTTCACGGCATAGTAGAAAACTAAATAAAAACGTCACATAAAAATAACGCTAAATAAACATGCTTTAAAGCAAATAAGCATACAAGTTAGAGAACTAAACGAGAAAACAGACAAAAGCCAGATCACGACAAGATGCAATGATCAAGATTAAAAAAACATGAAAGAGTTAGGTTTACATAAAATTATTAACTTATAATTCGGCTGTTATAAAACGAGGCCCAATACTTACTCATTAAATTCTAATGTAATCAATATTGAGTCAAGTTTTATAATTAATTTAAAATTACATGCATTCGAGGCCTATGGTGTACCTGTAAGCGGCAGCGTG